ATTCATAAGGCCTCACATAAGGCAGAATTTACCAAAATAAAGTCATATTCATAAGGCCTCACATAAGGCAGAATTTACCTAAATAATGTCATATTCAAAAGCCCTCACATAAGGCAAAATTTACCAACAAACAATATCCAAAATAGCAGGCCATTAATGCTACATGTATGGACTAACTTAAAAGTTCTTAAATACATCAACATCACTACAATTTCCATGGCATCTTTGACTGTGAAGAAGTGTCATTTTGACTTGAACTACTTTTCATTGTCTTCTTTCTTTGCTTCTCTCTAAGCTCATGAAGCTTGCTTGTTGAGATTGCTGCTTTACCATTCCATTTCAGCTTAGTTGTAGTACTTGGTGTATAACCAATGTCACCAGTTACATCAGATGATCTTGTCACTTTTGCTTGTCCAGTAGAGTAGATCTTACTACTTGGCATGCCAGGCTACAGTAAAATTAAGATTATATCAATATTTAAGCTGTTTATTTAAACAAAATTAGGATTATAATTCAATATTTAAGCTGTTAACATATATCAAAGACTCACATTCATGACTTTGAAGCCATTTGCAGCTTGGAACACACCCATTCCCATGACTCTTGGTCTTTTCTCTGGAGATGTGTTTCCCCTGCCTCTTCCTCTTTTAGTAGTACCAACTATTGAAGATGATGCATGATAAGTAGGAGGAGCAGAAGAGGATGCAAGAAAATCAGTAGGTGCAGTAGGTAGTGGAGGTGCACTAGGTGCTACTGATGATGTTTTTTTTTTGTCTTCCTCTTCCCTTTTTTAGTGGAGGCTCATCTTCTAATGGTGCTGATGGAGTTTTCTATACATATAAGAGAAAAAGTAAGTCATAAATTAAGAAAAAGTAAAACAAGTTCAAATATTACCTTTGGTTTGCCTCTTCCCCTGCCTGAACCTGTTGGTTCTGCCTTTACTGATGCAGTAAGTGATGGTGCACTTTGTCTTGTTGATGATTCAACACCTTCTCTTTGAGGACACCCTCTCTTGTTATGGCCTCTGACATGGCATATACTGCATGTCATTGCAGGTCCAGTCCTAGGAAGCTTCCCAGATTTCTTAGTTTCTCCAGCTTCTTTCCTTCTAGCCTTAGGTGGCCTACCAGGCATGTTTGTGATTTCTGGTGGCTCAATAGTGGGGTTTGTAGAAACTGGCCACATCTACATGTTTGTGAGTGGTTCAATAACATTGGCATAAATCCTCAAGTAAGTTTCCTTACTGTAGCAGCTGTCTATATAGTCATAAAGAGAAAACTTCTTAAAGTATAATGCAGCCACAACATGTGCACATGGTATGCCCCTTAACTGCCACACCCTACAACTACAAGTTCTCCCAGCAATATCCACTTTGTGTTGACAAAGCCCTTCTTTCACTTCAAATCCAGCAGCTCCATTAAACTCAATGGTACAGTCCATAGACCTACTAATGTTCTCCTTTAAAACCTTCAGAGCCATTGGAGAGAAATTAAACTTCCAAGTACTTGGGAACTCCCTTAATTTGGCTATTCTTGTCATCATCTTCACTCTTATATCTTCAAGCATAGTAATGATGGTCTTGTGTCTAGCAGCCAAGATCCATGCATTAAAACACTCAGACATGTTATTGTCTACAGAGTCACACTTTACTTCAGTGTTGAAGTAAACTTTGCACCAAAAATTAATATTGTAGTACATTAAGTTATCCATCATTTTTTCTGGACCTAACAACTTCATCTTCTCTATATTGTTCCTTAATTGAGACTCAAACGTACTCTTAGCTATCTTCCAAAATTGTTGTCTTCTTTGAAGACCCCTCCAATCCTTAGCCCAGTTAGCTAATATGTGCCTAGCACACATTCTATGTTCACACTTAGGTAATACATTTGTAATTGCTACAGACATTCCCTGCAATAATGATGATTAGGTCACAATTACATATATAAATTGAAAATTATAAAATAACTTCACATACCTTTTGCATATCTGTAATCAAAGTGAGACCTTCACCATCTCCAAGCCCCAGATCATCCCTTATGCACTTGACAAACATGGTCCATGTGTGTTTGTTCTCCTTTTCAACTACTGCCCAAGCAAGTGGCAACATCTGATTGTTACCATCCCTGGCCACAACAACTAACAGTTGGACTTTACAAACACCTTTAAGGAAAGAACCATCTAAGCCTATGCATTTCCTACAATGCATCCATGCCTTCTTTAAAGCATCAAAACAGATGTAAAAACTCTGAAATATTGACTTGACTTCTGCATCAGGTTCACCAACTTTTACAACACAACTGGTCCCTGGATTGGTCCTCAACAATTCATCCTTGTAGTCAAGTATTCTTCCAAATTCCACAACATGATCACCCATTATATCTTTCAATACTTTAGCTCTTGCTCTTCTCACAGTAGTCTTGCCAACATGAAGTTTTAACTTTTTCCTAATCATCTCCTGCAACTTGAAGACTCTTATGTTTGGTTGCTCAGTTATTCTTTCTCTGAAGGCTTCAGATAAAATTTTTGCATTGCACAAGTAATTTAGAGTTGTCTTGTTGCAAGTATGCTTTGGATTGTAAGTTTTTATCATGAAATTATTTGTTGTCTTGTCAAGACATCCAAACAAAAGCCATGGACAACCATCTTTGCATCTAACTCTAACTTTCTTTGGCTCATTCACCCACTTCTCCACCTGAACCCTTTTTCTAACTGCATATTTAGTTACTGCTTGTCTAAATTCTTTCATATCTTTAAACACCATGCCCAACTGCCACACAACTTTCTTTGCAGTAGGATCATAAATGATTTTTTGAGTTTTTGAACTCCTCTTTCTTGACAACTTTACTCTTCTTGATCTACCAGATTCATATTCATCATCATTACAACACTCATCTTCATCTAACTTAAAACTATCCTCATCAGAACTTGCAAAGTAAGGCTCATCACCTCCTAGCCTTCCTTCATGACTTACTTTACCTATTTCAGTTTCATCAAAACCTAGATCTGGTCCAGCTTCACCTACTGGTACCTCTTCATTGTCAGCTACTACTCTTTCCCTTCTTTTCCTCCTTTGAAAACTTCTCTTTTCAGCCCTCAACTCCCTAACCTCCTCATGTATATCACTACCATACTCTTTCTCATCATCATCTCCAACTAATTCAGCTTCAGACTCAACACTATCCTCAGTTGAATAATCAGAACCCTCTACTTCTTCTTCTGAGAAATCAGGTCCAGCAGGACCAACATCTATATCATCATCAGTAGCACCATCTGCAGTAGCAATATTTAAAAAGGAGGTGTGGTAGTGAAAAGAGGTGAGGTTGAAAAAGTAGCAACAGGGTCCTCACTGTTTAAATGGTTTTCACCTACCCCAAAGTTAAAGTTTTCACTCTCACTAGGCCTTGTATTAAAAAGTTGAACCAGATTCTCCCATATCCACATGACTACCATTTCTATTAACATGGGTCCCACAATTGCCTCATCAACCAAATGCCTAACAAATACCTCCACTTCATCCCCATCTTCCAAGGAACACATTATGTCTAAAATATCTTTATCATTATCAACATCTACCAAAATGCCACTGTTAGGTGCTTTAATACTAAAGGTGCAAGTTGTACTATATCCCAATTCCCTAATATAGTCTTTCAACTCAAAATATGACATTTTATCTACATCAACATCCAAAAATTCTGTAACTTTTCCACCATTATATATTGGTTCCCCACTACTTAAATCTAACACCCCACCATGGTACCACCTTAGAGTAATCAAAGTAAACCCATTCATCTCTTACCTGAAGGTAATAAAAAAAAACAGAATAGTAATTATAGACATACTCTAACCTGAGGGCAATCCAAAAAATAGAATAGTACTTAAAAACGAACAGAATACAACACATTAGCAAACGAACATAATACAACATAGTACTTAGCTTCTCTATGAACATAATCTATGAACATAAATGCAACACAGTAGCAGACTAGCAGCTTCTCTATGAACATAATACTAAGAAGAACATAAATACAACACTCCATGAACATAATACAAAATTACGCGACTTAGACGAGAAAGGGAAAAACCTAATTTCATGAAAAATGTGGTATTAAATGAACACCTAACACTATAATCGTAAGCCACACATAATATTTCACACAACGTTGCTCTTAATTTCACGAATCAACAGAAACCCTAGGGGATAAATCACAAACTCAAAATAAGGGATAAAGAACTAACCTTTTACTAAATCAGTTGTTAAACTACGAAATGAAGTTGACAATACACAACAAAATCGTTCGATGATAGCAAATTTGTTTGATGATCACCAGAAATGCATTGCTAATGGACAAGGATTCAAAATGAGAAAGGAGGATTTTTTTTGTTCTTTTACATTTTAGGAGGGAATGGGGGAAAAATCAAGAAATTGGAGTTGAAGAGGAGCGGGACCCAGCGCGTGGAACCACGCAGGCCTAATTATTTGGTTTATGTGTTGAGGTCAATACTTAGGTGTGTATAAAATAGAGAAATATAAAGTTCAGGTGGGTAATAGAACACCCGTAAAGTCGGAGTGTGTTGTTGGGATTTCGGGTATAGGTTGGGGGGTTTTAGACCATTCTCTCGCCTAACTTAAAAACTTCCAAAACTCCAAAACTTCCAAAATTCTCAACTTTTTGATCCATCTTCAAAATCAACCTCATAAACTGAT